CTCCCTGCAGGCTACAACGATAAAAGTATCATTTGTTGTTTAAATTGATCTATTAGAATAGTTTAGTCTATTACACTATAGTTGACGTAACACAGTAATTGAATGAAATAGCGTATCCCACGCATTAACCACCACGGCCCGAAGTGTGAAGTCAATGAGACATGAGTCAACAGATACCAAGTTCAAGATCGTACTTACAATTAACACGATGTAGATAGATCTATTTTCATTTGGTCTAGTCGCTAGCATGTACGATACAAATCCGGAGGTCCTGGGTTCGAGTCCCGGATCAGGCCAAGTGCAGTTATGGAGTATTTCTGTCAAGAAATTCTCAGTAATAGCTCGGAATTGGGAAGTTGGCCGTGTTTCAACTCCTTGCCTCGGAGAGTGCGAAAGCTGTCGGCTCTGCGCCTTAATTCTCCCATCTGAGTGTAACTGGAATAGATAGTTCACGTTGTGTCTGCGCGTGCATTTCTGCACTACAATATCTTCTACGCAGTTGGCTAGTCTCACAAGTGAGATTGTCCGCCGTGCCCAAAATCGACCAGGACATACGTATTTACAGCAAAATGCTGTGTTATAATTATAACGTCACTGCGTGTTTAGATGAAAACTATTGCTTAGCCACTAGTTCTATCCTAGCTCCTGCTCTTCCTTCATATAAATAAGAAAAGTATTGGTAAGTCTTAGATTTGACTTATGTATCTTCAGATTTACCAACATTAATTATATTTGTAAATAAAAAGAAATGTATTTATGGGCTTTTACCATTCATATAGTATATTCTAGGTTTTACTACAACGGTTAGTTTGTTAGGTATCGAAATTAACGATGTTCAAATTCCGGACTTAACTTGGGTTTGATTAGAACAAACAAATTTTAAATATTACCCTAGTTCGAGCTTTAACAGTAAGATATAGATTCATTGTTTAGTATTTGAGCATATTTTGCAAATATGCTTAAAAAATGGGCTACGATTATGCGGTGGCATTACATATAAGAGCGCTTAGAAAGCCGCACATTTAAATCGGTATCGTAATAAAAATAAAGTACCCATTCCATCAAGTTACGTATTAACATAATAAAAAATAACATAGAATATTTTTATCTCACCATAACGACTACATCTTGTTAATTTAATTCAATTACATAATCCAATTTGGGTTCTAAATGCAACATAAAATGAAAAATTTAGCAACAATCAGCCCGCACTTGTATGTTCCTTCCTACAAATTACCTTCATTCATCTAAAGCGGATTTTCACGTTATTCCTTTAGGCTTTTGCGAAATATGTAATATACGTTGGAACTCAAAAAAACTTTACTGTACCAAAATCCGAGGCAGGTTGCCCGCGTACCTAATAGAATACTTTATGTTACTTTTCGCTTTAGGTCTGTAAATTGCGCAATATATTTCATTTTATGTGGAAGCCATATTCTGTGGGAATATTATCCAATTTTGACCGACTTTAAAATAAGGAGGTATTTAATTCGGTTGTTTCGCATAAATCTTCGTTAATTTTGTTCATAATTCTTTTTAAGGTCAATAGTTTGTTCAATAGGTTATAGGTACCTTTTTTAATGCCAGGAAATGCATTTACGCATATTACCTGCATACATACAGGTGGTTATGTGGGACTCGAAAAACCACGAAAAACGAGAAAAACCAGCACTACCCACTACAACCACCCTGTTAATAGGGCGCCGTAAGACCACTTATGCACTCAACTACGACGCACCGATAGTTGACCTACCGAGACAGACCACAGCAATCATTTGGGTTGCTCCCACGGTCCACTCTGCTATTAGAGAAGTACCAGGAGTCAGGTACAACCCACATGGTACACCGCCCACCGGGCCGTTTCCCAATGCGTCTGTTAACTTCTCTTCCGACTTGATTGCCGGACGCTAATGATGGGGGGACCCCCACTACAACAAGGTTGCTACACCGCATTACCGTACTACAATGCATTGGAACTATTATATTCGTTCAAACTTCAAACGAATAGAGAAAATGGATATTTGGACGACTAAAAAGTTTCTTTTTTTTCTTCACTACATAGTATATAAAACAAAGTCGCTTCCCGCTGTCTATCTGTCCCTATCTATGCTTAGATCTTTAAAACTACGCAACGGATTTTGATGCGGTTTTTTTAATAAATAGAGTTATTCAAGAGGAAGGAATATGTATGTATAATACGTGCATATTATAAGTACAGAAAAACCGAAAAATTCAAAGATTTGTATTTCATACTAACCGTTAAAACCTACCTATAATATATGTATGTCCTTATTAAATTGACAATATTTAGATTTAAAGTTATAGAGGATATAATATAACTCGGGCAATCATACAATGCTGTAGACAGAATCCATTACCATTATTTCTGTACTTTACCTAAAATAAACTAATCATCGCGCTTTGTTTATGCACATTATAAATTATCTGTTCGCCTGTACTTTGTACATAAATATAACAATACACAACATCGACCGTGTCTAGTTCGCGAAATAGTCGCAAATTTTCACAGCAAAAGCACGAAGCTTAATAGTTTAATAGTGTTACATTTCACTTGTTATGTACCAAGCTAAGGTTCATCTTCATTAATATTGTAAAGAGGTAAAGTTTGTAAGTTTGTTTGTAATGGAAAAACTAAAAATAAGCTGAGCCTATTTAGATGAAATTTGCTAAGAAGATAGTTCGTGATTCTGGAAAGGACATAGGATAATTTTTATCCCAGATTTCATACCTTAAGGGGGTGAAAAGGGGAATGAAAGTTTGTATGGAGAACCAATTATTTTCTCGAGTAAGGGATGTAAAACTCATACCTATGTATATATTGTATATAATCTATTTCCTACTAACCGCTAAAATATATCTAGGGACGAAACCGAAGCGACGGTGAGTAGCGAGTAGAAGTACAATGTTCCTGTTCTGATATTTTACTGTTTAATTTTAAGGATTAGGCTAAAGGAAATGTTGCCGATAAGTAAATAAATCCATATACATACTAATATTATAAATGTGAAAGTGTGTTTGTTCGTTTGTTTGTTTGTCCTCCTTCAACGTCAAAACAGAGTGACGGATTGACGTGATTTTTTGTGTGGAGATAGTTAGAGGGCTGGAGAGTGACATATGATACATAATACTAACTTTAACTAATATACAATTTAAAGATTTGAGGAAAAAATACTCTGCTTATGGGTCCAAGATAAATATTTTTATTTACATACATTTATTCTTTATCTATACATATATTTGATGGTACCATTTTGAGATTCTATAACAAAACACATTAATACAAAAATATATAATTACAATAATAATAAACATATAATTTTTCAACAAAATTTAAATAAAGTTTTTAATTTATAAATACATTACACATAGTATTAGACCAGGGCTGAATGATGTCTTTGAAAATGGTGAAAAGTGAAAAAAGTAATAGTAGGATGAAACCCATTGGAAAAGGACGAGAATATAAAAAAATGAAAGGAAAAATAATTTACGGGCGATCTGAGGTCGGGAAGTGGAAAGGGGTGAGTTTTTAAGGGTAAAGTACGGATAACGGATTTCCGGCAAAACTACAAGTCCTATGGAAAAAAGTTAGTAAAAATTTGTAGATAACCTCAAAATTTATGAGAAAAATTCAAATAACCAAGTTTTAAGTTTTTTATTTTTATCTTTTACAAAAAAAAAATCACGAAATTTGGTGAAAAGATACCTTTTTATGTCCCAACAAACTGTATTATATATGTAATTTTTTTGATTTAAAATATGTATTTTTTTTACCTTATTTTGACTTATTATCGAAAAAGCACCCTAATTTTCAATCGAAAATTTTGCCGTCAAAATATCTGCTTTTTTAAAGAAGTCGGTAGGCTTTTTGTTCGTTGAAATCTTTACTTTCTAATGGTGTAAAAAAAATTCATTACTATGGTAAATTTTCTGAGAAAATGCTAAAATTTTCTCATAAAAAACCAAATACTTGGTTATTTGAAATTTCCACATAAACATTGTGGTTACGTGAAAAAACTGTAAATACAAAAGTTGTAGATCTTTTTAATACCTACAACTTTTTTTTTTTTTTATTCTCATTTAAAGAGCTGAGTCACTTGGGCGACTATGTTGCTCTGGTAGGTTACACAAATATTCTTATCTATACATTAGTTATAATATTATTTAGTTTCGCTTACTTATGTTATGTTACCTACAACTTTACCATTTAACTTTTTCCATAGGACTCGTAGTTTTGCCGGAAATCGACATAAACCGTTTTTTACCCTTAAAACTCACCCCCTTCCACTTCCCGACCTCAGATCGCCCGTAAATCATTTTTCCTTTCTGTTTTTTTTATATTCTCTTCCTTTTCTAATGGGTTTCATCCTACTATAATTTTTTTTTTGGTTTCAAAAATTATCTACTACACACTACAGTAACATTTAAGTGAGATTTCAGTTGAAACATACAGAATATTAAGTATATTGCAACAAAATATTTTTAATAGCAAAATAAATTGTCAGTTTGTTGTGAACAATTTTTTATTTCTTTACAACACATGGAATGCAGTCATAAGATGTAGAATAATTTTATAATGAATGAAAATACTGACAAGCGGTTACATCTTTGCCGATAAACATATTCTTTAAATTCTAAAATTTAATTAGAATTAGGTACATTTACATGACTTTAGTTTTATAAAATGAGAGTGTTTAACCTTTATGTGTGGTTGAAGTAAAACTTCTTTGGTGCTGCAGCAGATACCACAATTAAATTAAAACAAATCGAAATATAATAATTTTTATAAGATTATTAATTAAAGTATATATTTTTATAAATAATAATTATTACAAAAATATAAATACACTTATATATATTTTTAAATTATTAATAATAAATTGTACTCTCACTTCCGCTCATTTTTCCTATGTGTTGACTTACCCCTCAGTCCTGCCTAAAGAAGTTTTAGTTCAATAATTCTATAACTATGAAATTGCTTACTTAATATCTGCTTCGACATCGTCAGCCATGATATATTCATAAATACTTTTAATTAATTCAACCGACTCAACTTTAGCCCACCCTTCTGTTTTGGTTATGAGCTTGGCTTGACCATCTTTTATAAATTCTAATGTCAGTTGTTTGAGAGTCTTGGCTGAATGCAAATCGGCAAGCTGTAGAGTTTTTATTGCATTATCTACCGTTAACTTTTTATGTAGAGCTTCTTCACACAGACTCTTTAGTCTATGTAGTTGATAAAAATCTGCTGCTGCCAATAGTTTTTCTGGAATATCATCAACTCTGGGTGCTTTATCACTATAAATAAATGTCAATACTTCAGTAAGGACTTCAGTCTCGAGGTGTGATTCAACAATATTTGTATGACATTCCACTGTATTATGCTCAAAATGAGCTTTTAAAACCAAACTTCGACTAGCTAAAACTGCTTTGTGGAGTTTATATTCATTGCCTTCAGAAGATTTCATAGTAATATCAGAAAATAAGCCATTATTTAGAAGATTTTCAAAATCATTGCTTAGTTGGGCTTCAGGTACATAAGACTGATCTACTTTAATATCATTTGTCACCATAAACTGGAATTTTAATCTTAAGCTGCCATCGCTTAAAAGAAATATGTCACGCCCATCATAGCTGGCTATGTCTCTCTTGAACAATGTGGCCAAGTACTGCCATTTATTACCTTGAACAGTGTGGTACTCCTTTATAACTATAGAACGTTCTTCAAATCGTTTTAAACATATGGTTAATATAGACTTCAGAAAGACAGGGTTAGGTGATAGGTAATATATCTCAATAATGTCATTGTCGCGACCCAAAAACTGCATCTTTAGAGAAAATTTCGAATGTACAGAGTCTGCTGTGGGTTCCTTTGGTTTCTCAGTACGAAACTCCCTCGTCTTGTTTTCAAGTAAATTAATAAAATTAGGTACAGTCCATATTATTGTGTTAATTCTTGTTTGCCCTTCAGTTCGTGTTGTATAATTTATGCTTGACATATCGTTTTTATTATTTCAACTTCAAGTATTATTACGATAAAAGAACTTTTTACGCCATTGTATTATAAATATTAAAATGTAATTAAATTAAAGTCAATAGGCTTTTTTGGAAACGATCGATGTTAATGTTATGACATTTCATGACACTAAGTGACAACTGACAAGTGACAATTGAAAAGTGTCCACAACGCAAGACCAGTTTCAGATGTGTATCTACGAAGGTTATTTTATATCAACTTTTAATCATACAAATAATAATTTTGGTACTTAATTTATAATTTTTCATAAAAAATATTATTCATAAAAGATAATGATAATAATTACTAAAAGTAAATTATTGGAATGAAGACCTGAGGTTGATATACAATTTGATTACGTTACTTAAATTTTGATATTCAATGCGTTCTGTTTCATTCTTTAAATTTCTCTATGTTTTGTAGCATACTAGCGACTCACCCTCGCTCAGCTCGGATTCGTCCCTAGGTGCGTTTTAACGGTTAGTATATATTTCTCAGAGATGAGACATTTTCCCGCAGTAAAAATTATCCTAAATGTTAACCCGGATCACCATACCAAATGTCATTAAAATCCATCCAGTGGTTTTTCTGTGATGCTGTAACAGACAGACAGACAGAAAAAAAATTCTAAAACTATAGATTCGGCCTCTGTATCGATAATAATGTTTATTTCAATAAGATTTTCCAAAAAATATTTAATGTACAAATTCGGCTTAGTTACAATTTTATTATATGTATAGGTTTGTAGGATGTATCGCGATAACTCTTTTCTGTGGGATAACGATTGAACATAAAAGTTAACTAAACAGCATTAGTTCCGAACTTATTATTATTTGGTGCTGTCTGAAAAAAGAGCAAATATGTTTTACGGGGGCAAAGCCATATTTTGGATTACAATACAACAACGTTGCTTAGTGATCGCTCTTCGTTATTTTTATGAGAGACAGATATACATACATATATGATATAGGAATTGCAAAGAGTTCGGGCAAATTAATTCCTCAAAGAACGTCTTATGGACTGACTCGTATAAATTATTTATGAAAATAAGTCAGATTTTCATTATTAGCGGGACAACATGCCACCTATATATGTATATAGGTTTTAGCTCGATAACATTTACATAATACTATATTTTGTTCTCCTGTTAATTTTGGATTGCTGTATAGTTGGTAAAAGACACTGTAGAGTTAGTCCCTAGGAACGTTTTAATTTTTTTGCGCGGAACCCTAATTCTTTTTCTAAAATAAAAGTAGCCTATGTTACTCCCTATAACATCAGCTATCTTCCAGCGAAAGTCCTGTCAAAATCAGTCAAGCCGATTCAGAGATTATCCGGAACAAACAGATAGACAAAAATTAAAAAAAAAATGTTTTTCTTATAAGTACCGTATATAATTTCATAATTGCATTTAGTAAAACGCTGTTATTTTGACATTACAAACATACACTTCAATTTTATTTATCTCTATAGATGAAAATAAACAAACTAGAGGCACACTATCGTTTGGTTTTGGCCCTCAATACACTTTGTGTAACAAATAACAATTCTATTCAAAATCCCGCGGTAACCTTTTATTAATCCAGGACGTTCATCTTTCCCATTTTTTTATTCGCCATTGCGAATAAAAACCGTTTGCCGTTCAGCAATACCGAAGGTAGGTGGGCACAAGCCGGCAGATATTCTTTTAAACGATAACTTAGGTAAGCCGTGTTATTGTGCAAAAAGGCATCTTTACTTAATAAGAAATATTACAGATAAATATTTTAGTTTTATTTAGAAGTAAATATAGATTAGGAACTCTTCTCCCATGCCTGGTCATTTGTTCCATCCTGTATACCTAATAGATTAGTATAATTCTTTGTTTAACGTCTTTGGAGTGTTTCGGCTGGTGAAGGCCTCAATGGCATGCAAAGGCCCAATGTTTTGGGGTAAAAAATCGCTATTTAACATGTCTTTTAAAAATAATATATATGCAAGTCTCATCATCATATTTTTCTTTACAGTAGCAAGTGGTAATCACGTTGAAAAGAATTTTCTTGAAAAGATAATGACATAAAGGTTTAGCAATTATAACTTTTAATACTTTCTTAGATTTACACGAATATTTGACATTCTATTATTAAAATTATATAAAAATGTTTTAAAATTAAATTAACTAATATTATAAGGTACTTTGGTGCCATTTTTCATTTTTTTTAATTCATTTTGTTATTTTGTGGGTAGGTTGTCTGTAACAACTATACAATGCCTTTGAGACATCTTACCTGAGAGACATTAGCCTCTTCCGTGACCATGATTGCTGTAAAGCATTCGAAACGTCGGAAACCAAAAATCAAAATAAATTCGTGAAAAAAACCGAAAAGATTTATTTAAAATGTTAACTCTTGTTACAGTCAGACCGTGGTGTACCTGCCCCCCGCACAGCCGCAGGATCGCAAATCAAAGGCATATGAAATGAGCACGATTCACGCAAAGCGCTTCGTCATATCGTTACCAGAACCACTATTTGCTCTCCCTTAGTATGGAGACGATTGCCCTTGCCGCTATTCACGCCACGTAGCAGTTCATTATTTACTTTTTCACGTAGATACTTACTATGTTTTGAAACATGATTTTTCGTAGAAATTGCGGTGTAAAGTTAGTATGGATTATATGAAACTATAAATCTATTTTACGACTTTGTGTTAAGGTTGTAAGTATTCATTGTAAAAACATGCATCGTATGTACATATTGGAATTGTCTATATTATACTCGATTTTATTAGTGTTAATTTTTCTAATTGTTTAATTTTTCAAGTAGGTAATTTAAACTTTTAATACCACCTAAAGTTAGTCTCCCTGTACTTTGAAGTTTCATATCGACGGTGAAGTGCCAATAACTCCTAAGTGTCATAGTCAAGAATTTACACAAACTGATAAAAAAAACATTTAATTTTTTGACAAGTTTAAAACCAGTAAATATATTTATTCATTGAGAATAATAATGACTTGGCTTTAATAATTACGTTATGTTAATATATTTGAATAAAACATGTGAATAGCGCGTTTAAATTCAAAACGATAAAAAAGTGAAATTCTCGAAAAATGTTAGTTAAGGAGGTATTGGCACTTCGCCGTCGATATATGTATAGTTAAGATTGTTTAGTGTACAAGTACGATATAACACAATTTTCGTGCGTTACATCACTTAGCCAGTTAGCCTAGATGTTTATCGTAATTATCTCAACGTAGAAAATTTTATCTTCAAGAGCAACATAATAGTGGTTAGATTACTTCGGCCATCATCCCTAGCTTGAAAGTTGAAGGAGAAAAATGTGACTTAATCTGCATGCATTAGAATAAATTTACCTACATTTTACATATACCTGCCATTCACAAAGGAGAATGTACAGTAGTGCACGACACTCGGTCTTTAGCAAGGACCTTAAATACCCACTTTATGAGTTGCACTATTTTAAATCTATGGGAATAAGATTTTTTATAATATGAACTGATAGTGTACTGTGAACCCATTGCTAACGCGCTTGCTTGAAAAGCCAAGTGAAGACCAGGTTCAAGCCCCGGGTCTCGGTCTTCTGAGATTTTTATCTGTAAATTATTGGAAAGATAATATATTGATGAAACCTGCATACTTAGAATATGACGACACGTTTGGCTCAGTTTGTAGTGATCCTGCTTGTTATGCTAGCGGTCGCGGTTTCGAGTCCCGCTGGGGGCATTCATTTGTGTGATGAGCACGAATGTTTTTACTCTAGTCATGGGTATTTATGTTTATAGTATGTATGTATTTAAAAGTTATATAGTGTATCAACTATCTGGTATCCATAACACAAGCCTCGTAGCTTACCATGGAACTAGATGGTGCTGTGTGTTAATGTCCCAAGCTATTTCATTTTTTATTTTTTTTACATAGTTTTCGAAAGACATGTAATATCTGCCAACATACACTTGGCAAGCCGTGTGGTGTTCGGCTCAAGAATAGCACCAACCCTGACAAAGGACGAGGGTGTCGTAAAAGGCGACTAAGTCCATAAACAAACGAAGCTATTATCTACGTTTCAGTGTAGGGGAGATGGGCCTCTAAGCATTGGTTTGCAACCCATCTAGGAGAAGGAAAATTCCAAAATAAAACCCGGAGCGGAATCACCGTAAGACGCGAGTAGGGTCCAACCCGAAATATGCGGCAGATTTCTGCAGCCGACTTGGCTCCACACGTATTGGCTCGCCTTTCCTGTGGGATAAGCCAACGAGGCCGAGAGGGTAATGCAGGTGCTGGGCATCCCTGTGTTTCCTTAATTCCGTCCCAGGCGGTGTAATGTCTGTGGAGAGGTCACTCCACCCACGGCAGCGTAGCTGTATGGACAACAACACGGGAAGTGGCAGTTACCAGTTATAAGTCTTGCACAGATGGGCGTAAGTGCAGGCGCTAGGGGTCACTTTCGACAGTGGGAGGGTCCATCGAAGACCCATCGATTGGTTACCGCCCGCTTCAATCTGGGCAGCCCCCGGACAATAAGGTACCAATCCGTCCCGTTGCCAGCTTGCTCCCTTGAGGTGTAGGGAGCACTAGCTCCTGGCTAGACGGCTGGTGTCGTTAACTTCCACACCTGGTTTTACAAAGCAGTTTCATAAAAACCCGCCTCGCCAAGCCATGCGCATTGCAACATGGAATGTCCGTACTATGAGGACAGGCCTCCCGGACACCTGTGGAGGTTACGGATACGCACAACATCTGCGTAAAACTGCCGTGATAGATGCAGAGCTGAGCAGGCTTAACATCTCTGTCTGCGCTTTGCAAGAGACCAGATTACCCGACGAAGGCTCATTGCAGGAGTCCTCTTACAAGTTCTTTTGGAAAGGAAAAGACTTTGGCGATGCTCGTGAACACGGTGTTGGTTTTGCGGTCCGAAACGATATACTTTCCGCCATTGAAACTCTATGCGGCGTTTCGGAACGCATAATGGTCTTAAGACTAAAGAT